CTATGCCCCCAATACCGTCATCCAAGTCATTAATAAAGATATTGAATCATCCAAGATCATTTCAATGTGCAAGCCCATTGTTGTTGTTGTTGTTGTTCCTAACTGCCCTCGAGCTGATCTCGACTCATGGTGACCTTATGGATGAGACCTCTCCAAGACCCTCTGTCTTCCACTGCTCTGCTTAAATCCTGCAATCCCATACCTGTGACTTCCTTAATAGAATCCATCCATCTAATATGTTGCCTTCCTCTCTTCCTACTTCCTTCCACCTTTCCCAGCATTATTGTTTTTTTTTCCAAAGAGTCTTACTTTCTCATGATGTGTCCAAAGTACGACAGCCTCAGTTTGGTTATCTTGGTTTCCAGGGAGGTTTCTGGCTTGATCTGCTCTAAGACCCATTTGTTTGTCCTTTTTGCTCTCCATGGGATCCTCAGCATTCTTTTCCAGCACCACATCTCAAATGCATTGATTTTCTTCCTATCTTCTTTCTTGAATGTCCAGCTCTCACATCCATACTTGGTAATAGGGAATACAATGGCTTGTATAATTCTAACTTTTGTGCTGAGTTGTATATCTTTACATTTTAGAATCTTTTCTAGTTCTTTCATTGTCACCCTCCCCATTCTTAATCTTTTTCTAATTTCCTGACTGCAGTCTCCATTTCTATAAATTTTGATTCCAGGTTTGGGAATTCTTTTACTATTTCTTTCTTCATTGTCTAGGTTGAACTTGTGAAGGTCCTTGGTGATTATTATTTTCTTTTCTTTATGTTCAACAGTAAGCCTGCCTTTGCAATTTCTTCTTTGATCTTCCTTAGTAGGTGTTCCAGGTCTGGGAGGTTTTCTGCTAGTATTATGGTGTCATCAGCATATCTTAGATTGTTGCTATTCTTTCCTCCTATTTTCACTCCTCCTCCTTCTGTGTCAAAGCCTGCTTTTCTTATAATATGTTCTGCATACAAGTTGAACTGATAGGGTGAAAGGATGCAGCCTTGTCTTACTCCCTTGCCAATTGGGAACCATTATGTTTCTCTGTGTTCTGTTCTGGCAGTAGCCTCTTGTCTAGAGTACAGATTACTCATCAGGACTATCAGATGTGTTGGCATTCCCATGTCTTTAAGGGCATTCCATAGCCTTTCATGATCTGTGCAGTCAAAGGCTTTGCTATAGTCTATAAAACACATGTTGATTTTCTTTTGGAATTCCCTGGTGCCATCATATGTTTTCAGTGTGGTCCCTTGTGTAAACCCATGGCAGCCATTTATTCTTTTTCTTCTCCCTTCACAATTGGCTTATCTTTAATAAACTCTGATTTGACTTGACAACATTCCAGAAAAACAAAAATGGAACAAAAGTTGAGGTAACAAATAGATTGGCTCCAGAATCAATGGATAATGTCTGTGGATACCCTATATATCAGAAATATTGTTGCATATAAATATAAATTTATATGCACAATGAGAGCCAGTATAGTGTAGTGGTTTGAATATTGGACTACGACTCTGGAAATCAGGGTTTGATTCCCTGCTTGGCCATGGAAACTTACTGGGTGATCTAGGGTGAGTCACACATTCTCAGCCCCAGAAAACACTGTGACAGGTCTGCTGCAGGGTCTCCATGAGTTGAAAATGACTTGGGCCTCATTCCCACTATGTTATAAACTGGTTTGCTAACCAGTTTGAGGTGGTTTAAATGATCTTGTTCACACTTGAGCCAAATTGCTGAAGTAGTTTGGCAATGAGAACTATTTGTCATTTATCATTCATAAACATAAAACGATGTTCAGAAATAGAAAGAAAAGACAACTATTAGTTTAAAGGAAATCTCCCCTGTAGCAACTCCCTTGTCTCTGTGAATGGGGGATGGTTCATATACAGAAATCTCATCAAGACTATTGAAATTTAGGCTGAAAGGGACGCAGGCTAGCCATGAAATAGAGTTCTATGGTGTGTCATGTTGATTGATACTTATATATCTGCTGTGCCAACACAAGCTAAATCTCTGAAGATGCTGTCTTTGAAAACAGTTATATACTTTTGAATAAGCAAAAAGAGACTACAAGAAATATATGCAGCCATGTATTTTGCTTCTTTATTCATATCACTGTGTAAATGTACATTTAAAACTATCTAGAACAGTGCACATTCAGTCCTTTTTGCTTCTTAGGTGTGCCAATTCACAAAGTTGGAAAACCATGACTAGGAGTATTCTCCTTTCAGGGACTCCTGATCTAGTAGCCAACATATCCTCCTGGTTCTGTATTATCTCAGCTGAGGGCTTCCCTGTTTTATTGCCATTTCCCCACTTTGCTTGCTCAACCGCACTGCCCTTTTCCAGTTTCACACCCAATTCCAAGCAAATAACTGCTCTTCACTTTTCAAAACACCATGAAGGTATTTGCTTGTTTTTAAAATGGAAGCTCTGTCTGCATTGTCAGCCAAATATGAATGCATCCACATTGAACAATTCTAGTACCTTGAAACTACTTTAATTATAATGTTTATACCCTGTGGTATCTTAGGATTTCTTGACTGAGGAGTTCAGTGGAGCAGACTAGAAACACCTTGCCAGACTCCAAAACCCAAGATCCCATAGGGTGGATCCATAGTAGGTAAAGTGGTATGGAATCAATATAATGGTGTAATGCAGATACATTGAGAGCCCAGGAAAGACTTACAATTGCAATCCCTGTTCAGTCAGTAAGTGATGAAAGACAGTTGAGTAAAATTATTTTAATTACTTTTAGAGTGGTCCTCACCAACATCCACTGTGTTTCTCCTTCCCTCCAACTTCCAGTCAATGGGTTTGCCATGTTGTACTTAAATGGAACCAATGTTTAAGTTCAAACAATATATTAGCATAGAGTAGCTCTGCCCAGCCCCCAAAAATCTCATTTAGGTAATAACTTTCCTATGCTCATATAGGTAGTAAAACAACCTTACTTGATTATCTGTTTTAGGTGATTTGGACTCCAGTGCAGTTGTGAGTTGCTGCTACATCTTCAAAATTCCTGCAAGGAACTGAAGTGACTGCTTTACATAAATCATGCCTGATTTCTATTGGGAATTCAGAAAAGTCAGTGCAGGTCCTTATTATCCACTTGTCAGGGACAGCCAGGTTGAGGACATGGAGGACTCTGAGGATGAGGATGCTGAGCCAGGTCCTAGTTTGGTGCTACCAGCTCCCATGGACTTAATTGAACCTGGGCCTAGCTCTGTGGGACCCACTGAGGCACAGCCCCTGCCTCAGCAGCCTAGCCTCCTCCCAGCAGAAAGCCTCCCCCCAGCAGAGGTTTCAGGCCTGGAAGAGACAGAACACGGAGGTACCTACCTTTGCTCAGAGAAGGACAGAAAGGCCATGTCTCTGGTGTTCTCAGAGGTTATCAGAGAAATGTGCAGCTAAGGCCAAACAGCTGTGAGTGGGAGTGGTGCTATATAAGCAGCTGAGGAAAGCTGAGTTCCTTGTCAAAGCTTATTTGAGATTGCTGGCTAAAGCTTTGGACTCTTGACTCCTGGCCTGACTTTGGACTGATTTGAATTTTGTGACCTCTGGATTGGATTGGACGACCTGCTTGTTGGAACCCTGGATCTCAGACTACATTCATTGACTTGCCTTGTGGGCTCTGGACTCATTGTTTTACTGCTTGAAGCAATCAGACTGGTACTGTACTTGCAACTGCTTTTGGTGTTAGAGACAGACATTGCTCTTATCAGCCATGCTGTTGGCAGCTTTCCCAGACAGAATAAGCTCTGAACATAATCAGGCTGATAAGAAATGGAGGAGAGTACTCTAATGAGGGAGCTCTTGGAGCAGATGGGGCATGGCTCTGCTCCAGAATCAAGCTCAACCCAGGCCACAGGGGAAATCCCTCATAGCTATGCCAGAAAAATATTCTGGTGATAGAAAGGAATTGGAAAGTTTTATAGCCCAGTGCAAGCTGCACTTTAAAATCAGAGAGACAGACTTCCTCACTGATTCACTTAAGGTAGCCTTCATTATCAGCTTGCTGTCTGGGTCTGCAACCAAATGGGTTACTCCTTATCTCAATGAGGATAGTCCTGTCCTCAACAGCTTGCAGGACTTCTTGAGGGAGATGAGGGCTACCTGGGGAGACCCAGTCAAAATGGAGACTGCAGAGCACCAGATTAAGAAGCTCCAGCAAGGCAAGGACTCTGTGGCAGAATATGCTACTGCCTTCCGTCTCATAGCACAGGACTTGACTTGGAACGAGAGTGATTTGCAGGCCCAATTTCGTTGGGGTTTGGCTGACCCCATTCTAGACAAACTAGCCCGCTCAGAGCCTCCTGATACATTGGCTGCCTTGATCACCCAGGCAACCCACATCAACTGTCGCCTCTCAGCCCACAGGCAGACTCGACAGTCTGGCCTGTCTCTTCTTCCGTTGCCTGTGCCACAGACTCCTGCAGCTTTCCCTGAGGCTGCTTCTCCTAGGCCTTCCAGAGGAAGCGATGCAGCAGGGAGGAGCTCGGCCACGGCTCACTGGGGCTGAGAAGGAGTGAAGGAGGAAAGAGGGCATCTGTTTGCATTGCAGACTTGCAGGGCATTTTGCCAGGGAGTGCCCTGCCAAGGGTTGTTGAGCACCGGTGCAGGGAAACGGAAGGTCCCAGATGTAAATCAGGTTCATCACCTGGGAGCATCTCTTGAACCTGCTCCCCTCCATTTGCCCTGCACTGGTGCTCCATTTGCAGTAAGGTCCCTTTGCTGGTGGCAGCCAACCTCAGGCTCCCTCCCCAGGAGCTCATTCCCCTGGGAGCCATGATAGACTCAGGAGCTTCCAGCAATTTCATGGACCTGGGGTTTGCTACTTGCCACCAGATCTGGAGGCCCTAGCTGAGCCGAGAACAGTGGAGACCATCGACAGCCGGCTCCTGCGATCTGGTCTAGTGATGCACCAGACCTTGTTACTGCACTTGGAGATCCAGGGCCATATCGAGAAGGTCCAGTTCCTGCTGGCCGACATGCCGCATTTCCCCTTGGTCCTGGGGATGCCCTGGCTCTCCAAACATGATCCTCATATCTCTTGGGCCCGTTGGAAGGGCCTGTTTGCCTCCGAGTTTTGCCAAATGCACTGCTGTCCAGAGTGGATCCCAGCCGTGGTAGCAGTGGATGCCAAGGAGTCCTCGGTGACACTGCCCAAGAAATACAGGAACTACGCCAATGTCTTCGACAAAAAGGAGGCAGATCGGATCCCACTGCACAGACATTATGACTGTGCAATTGACTTGGTACCAGGGGCCTCTACTCCCTCTCAGAGCCTGAGCTGGTGGCTCTAAAGGATTTCTTGGAGAAGAATCTTCAGAGAGGGTTTATCGGACCATCCAAGTCCCCTGCAGGCGCCCCTGTGCTCTTTGTCTGGAAGAAGTGTGGGGAATTACGCTTGTGTAATTATTTCCAGGCCCTCAACCGGATCACTGTCCGGAACCAATATCCATTGCCTCTGATTCCAGAGTTGCTGGAGTGACTCCACTATGCCAAGATTTTCACTAAGTTGGACCTCAGGGGGGCCTATAACTTGGTGAGGATCCAGGTGGGAGACGAGTGGAAGATGGCTTTCCAGATGAGGTATGGGCATTACGAGTATACGGTCATGCCCTTTGGCCTGTGTAATGCCCTGGCCATCTTCCAGCACTTCGTCAACAATGTTTTCCGGGACTATTTAGACCGGTTCATGGTGATCTACCTGGATGATTTTTTTATTCACTCGGACACCACCCCTCTAAGCAAGAAAGGTTTCCTTCTCTGCCCACAGACCTCTCCTACTCCCATCTGAAAGTAAGATAGTTTTATTAGAAATCAGAATCATATGGTCTTCTAGATGTTGCTGAACTTCATGTCCTGGCAGTTCTAGCCAGCACATTGTCATGGGGGGATGCTCAGACGTGTAGTTCAACAGCATCTGGAAGATAACATGATACATGATTTCCATCCCTGCTCTTTATCCAATGGCATCAGAATACTTCTAGAAGAACTAAAGAATGGCAGTCTTAAATATCTTTTATTGCGGTATGAAACTCATCAATTCAGTGCTGCCCACAAGCATTTTAATCAATGTTTTATCACACTGAAAACATCATGAGGACTTACGTTTGAAGTCTTCTTCAAGGAAAATGATCTCCTACAGGAAGCATCCATACAGGAAGCCAGATTGAGTGATATCTTTACTGTTTAATATGAGAAACAAAGATTGTTGTTCCATGAGTTTTTCCAAGAGTTCAGCCACACAATTTGAGACAAATACAGCACTAAAATGATGGAAGATAAATGAGCCATCTTTTTCCAGGACTGATTTGGGCTTAAAATGTGTCAACTCTTGTACAAAAAAATGACTGGTTAATTAAAATCTCTCTTGAACACAAAGCAAATTGGACAATTAATTAATAGAACTATTTCTTTGAAATCCCCCTTCAAGTCCAGCCTCATTTATCAAGTGCCAATGATATATGTCTGTGTCATGTGAAGCTTGTTTGTTGAAGGCTATTCCCATACACACCTGAGCTCAAATAAATCTGCCTTA